ATAGATATAGATATAGATATATATATATATTATATATATATATATATATATGTATATATAAGTGTGTATGTATGTATGTATTTATGTGTATGTATGTATATTTTTATGTGTGTACGTGTAAATTTACGTTTACATATGTGTATGTATGTGAGAGAGTGTGTACACGTGTATGTATGTATGTGTGTGTTGTGTGTGTTGTTGTGCGTGTTTTCGTATGTGTACACGTTAGTGTATGTGAAGTGACCCTTTGTGGCCAGTACAAGCTCTTCAGTGTTAGTACAATTTCATTCCATGCACATGTGCATATAATATTAGTAGGGTGGTATTTTTTAAGACTTAAATTAGAATACATCGTAGAAATACATAACATCCTATTATCTATTGAAATCGACGTTTTAAATTTCACTCTCTTAGTGCTCGCTTTTGCTGTGTTGTTGTGCACAAATTTTTTTGTCTTTATTATTATTTTATTTATATTTGATGGGGATAGGACGGAGGTCAGCATGGAACTTCATTTTTATAATACAAATTTATTTATTTTAATATTTTTACACACGCGCGCGAATATATTTCAAATATTCCTGAAGAATTTTATTGAAAAAATATATTTTGTGTTGAACTTCGAAGTTCGAAGTATATGTTTGCAAAAAAAATGATCCCAAAATTCTGTAGTAGGTATTGCAGCCACATGCATTTGTCTCCCGTTGTTCCAGTTTCGAATCTAAAGTAATTACTTATAATTATCCAGCACGGTAGTAGTGCATAGCCTTTTCATTTTTTGAAGTATCAAGAATGACGTTCGAAAAGGTTAGTATCCGCGTTTGGATAATAGTAATATTCTCTATACAACGTCCGGAAATCTGAACGACGGTGTATCCTTAAAATCGTGGCATAAACATCATGGGTGGAGAGAAATTAAGTCGGAAAATTGCGTTGCTGGCTTCATGAGTGTTCAACATTATAAATGGCTTCGTGATATCTTCAAAAACTTAACAACTAACATAACATCAGCATACGAATGAAAATTCGCTACATTCGAAAACACCGTGAGAGTGCCGCGTTTGATAGTATACACTTTCCGGAGATATTTGTAGTATCGTCATGACACTCAGCAAATCAGCAACCCAACGAGTTGGCGTACAGGGTCATTTTCAATACCGCATTCTATATCGGTTCATCGCATTATCTGCTCCGTCAAATAGTAGCAAGTTTATACGATCAACAAACACAATCCGTTTAATCAAGCGATAGAAACAAAACAGTAGCACGGCCGTCGAGCAGTTTGCGGCATGCGTCCAACCCGGATGACATAATGCCGATGCACTATGAACGTTGAATTTACTTTCCAGTTCACTGCATCAAATATTCTTTCAAGTAGAAATTATTTTAGACAACCTCAATGTATTCGGTTTAGAAACGTAGGCGATTTAAGTAGGATGGTATCTAGTTGAAAAAATACGGCCGCCGGATGTTCTAAAACAAACGTTACGTGTAGATGCAGTGCAACATCGACTCCATATATTCACGTATGTTTGCTCTTTTAAACATCCTGTCAATGTGTAGGTCGTCGTTATTGACGCTCGGGGTCACCTGTGTGGTCGCCTGGCCTCTGTTGTCGCCAAGGAGCTTCTTTCTGGTCAGAAAGTTGTTGTTGTGCGTGCCGAAGGTCTGGAGCTATCTGGTTCCATGATCCGTAACAAGAGTAAGTCTGTCAGACCGGTCATATACATCGAGTTTATATATGCGAGTTTGCGTGGCTAACTGCCCGATAGTTCAGAATACTTTGACCAAAAATTATTGTTTTAACATGCGTTGTGCTTGCACAAATTTTTAGATATGAAAGCGAAGAACAAGTTGAGATGATACAAGTCGAATATAGTAGTTGGAAGTGTATCGTACGCATTTTTTTCAACTTCTAATATCATATGCTTGGCTTCTGGCAGTGACATTCGCCAGATACAAAAAGAAGCGTATGAATTCCAACCCCGCTCGTGGTCCCTATCATCAGCGTGCCCCTGCTCGTATGTTTCACCGCATGTTGCGAGGTATGATTCCTCACAAGACGAAGCGTGGAGAGGCAGCCATGGAGCGCGTGAAGGTGAGTACAATTGAAACTTGGATTGTTTTATACGTGACAATCGTCTGATAGCGAAAGCATCTGTATATTCGAATGTGTATTCAAGCCAAATAGCTTTCTTGACTGTACTGGTTTGTTACCGAGTCTTTTATGTTCATTTCTGTTGTGATCTTGATTGGTATTTCCTGTTTACTAGTGTATGGGTAAGTGTTGTTTGTCATCACGGTGGGCGTGGTGGCCTCTAACAATGGTGTTATGGGAGTACTCGAATTCATTCAGAGAAGCTATGATATATGTTTTTTGGATACTGACACATACCGGAGAGTATGCCTTTTTGCCGAGTACCTTGTTTGTTTTGTGGGAATACGTGGTGTTTAGTGTGCGCTCAATGATGCCTATCAGCTGTCCACTTTATTTCGCGGAATATGTTCAATGAAAATGTTTTTGATAGTTATCTCATCGTGGATTAAATATTGGTATAGTCTGTAAATATTAGTAATATAAAATTACTCGTACCTTTATTAGTCGTAATGCTGAACAGCCCAAATATATTATTTTTTTGCTGCTGATCTATACCAAAATGTATGAAGATGATTGCCTAAATGTGATTATTGGTTCTCTGAATTTTCAGATCTTCGAGGGTGTTCCCCAGCCTTACGACAAGATGAAGCGTATGGTCGTCCCTGATGCCCTTCGTGTACTTCGTCTTGCTCCCCGTCGTAAGTACATTGTGCTTGGTGATCTCGCTAGCCAGTTTGGCTGGAAGTGTGCTGACATTGTCAACACTCTTGAAGATAAGCGAAGAGAAAAGGCCGAGGTTTACTTCGCAGATAAGAAGAAGACTATCGCTAACAGAGCCCAAGCTATCAAGAACAAGGAGTCAGAACTCGCGAGTGTAAACGAATCGCTAGCGCAGTACGGTTTCTAATCATTGTGTAACTATAAATCTCTGATCACTTGAGCAATTACAGTCCCTTGTTTACGTCTACTGTCTAATTTGTGCTAGTAACGTACTGCTTTGATGTATTACCTCATCTGAGGACTGGAATATACTGCTTCGTTCGCCATACCTTTGGAAAGTTCGCTATTAAAAAAAGCTTATGATTGTTTTCCTATTGTAGATTATACTGATATTGTTGTGGCTGAACAATACTACGACTGTACGAACCACAATTTAAAATATCTATTCATATTTGCTTGATCAAGTATACATAATATTTTGCGTGGATGGGATGGTAGCGATTACTATCATCACAGTGCGTAAAATAGCAATTAGAAACACAGCGGTGTGCACTTTCTGACAATTGTTACTGGGCTGAAAATTCTTCGGCCTTCGCTTTACGGGTCATGTTACTTATGTACGAGTCTACTGTTTAAAATATATCGATACCTGCTGGAAGTCAAAGATACAACAAAGTGTAGGCCGCCAAAAGGAACATTTTTCTAAAAATATACAGTTCCATGTATATATTTAAATACACACACATGCAAAATATAAAATAAAATAAGTACGGCACACTCCCCCGACCCCCAGGACTCCAGGAGGGCAAAGGAATTTTAAAAGAGCGCCTACTCATAGCACTCTCCTTAACTACTATTAGACACTCGAGAGAGTAGACAGCCTACTACTACTAAATACTATGTATTTAGTATGTACTCTAAATGGTAAATATAAAATACATACATCCGTGTTTGATTTTGGAATTGGCTCTATGAAAAGACTGCGTATAAATATAATAAATACCAACTAGTCTCAAGCCTAAGGCTCACCTTATCAGCGAAAGCAAGAGTCAGTGCGGAAGTCTTTTCTTCGTTTGAGGTAGACTTGGACTTAAGGAAGAGGTGTATCTCATCATGGTCTTTGATGAAAATGCGAAGGCGTTTGACGTGACGGCTACGGGCCATAAAGACTTAGTGCACTCCGTAGCATATGATTATTATGGATTACGACTGGCGACCTGTTCCAGTGACCACACAATCCGTGTGTGGCAAATGACAGAAGGGTCGTGGACCCTGTCAGGCGTATTAAAGGTATCAAGGATTTGAAGTATCTGTACATAGATCCAGAGCATTTCATTTTCGTTCTCGTTTGGCGCTATTGCGTGCACGGCAATTGAAATAGATTCCAATGCGTATTTTATAGCTATATGAATTAATATAATATGTATATATAGAGGAAAGACAATCTTCCTGACTAGTTCTGAAATATAGAAAGAGAGATAGATAGCTGTGCATATATATATATGTATATATATATATATATATATATATATATATGTGTGTGTGTGTGTGTGTGTGTGTGTGTA